ACCCATTTCCCCATGTTTGGAAAGTGAGAAACACTTGTCCTGCTTTGAGCTTCGAGACATTCAGTCGCCCTAACTGCAGACCTATCTAAATAGTGTCATAGTGGTAGTGTGATGGTGATGGTGTAATACTGATAGTGTAATGGTGATAGTGTAAGATTAGTAGTTGTGTTTTCTGTTAGAAACATGTGGGGAGCAGATCTGCACTGTGTGTTTCAGAGCTACTGGGGGAGATGTGTTTGACTGGATCCTGGACCAGGGCAACTACACAGAGAGAGACGCCTCTAATGTCATTAGACAGGTGCTAGAAGCTGTGGCCTACCTGCACTCCCTCAACATTGTGCACAGGAACCTCAAGGTGCTGTCTGCCCTCACTGCCTCTCTGTCTGCTCTCTGATCGGGTGTCTGTCTGTTTTTACAGCCTGTCTGTCTGCTCTCTGATCAGGTGTTTGTCTGTTTTTATAGCCTGTCTGTCTGCTCTCTGATCAGGTGTCTGTTTTTACAGCCTGTCTCCCTGCTCTCTGAGCCTGTCTGTCTGCTCTCTGATCAGGGGTCTGTCTGTTTTTACAGCCTGTCTGTCTGCTCTCTGATCAGGTTATCTCTTTGCTAAATTCCCCAGCTTTGCCTTTGAAGCTACGAAGCATAAAACAGAAGAAAAGATTCATATTATTACCATAAACCAAACCTTTATTTGCATGAAAACTAATTAAATACTAAATTGCAGATATTACAGAGAAGTCCCTAGCAGCATGTGTAAAAAGAAATTAAAACGCCTGTTATCGAAACCTGCGGCGATAGGAAAGTCTTTCGTGTTCCTTTGTCTCCCCCAGCTGGAGAATCTGATGTACTACAACCAGAACAACCACAACAAAGTGGTCCTGCGCGATTTTTACCTTTCGCGGTTTGAGAACGGCTCTATCACCGAGCCCTGCGGGACTCCCGAGTACCTGGGTACGTGCCTGCGCCGTTTTCCTGTGAGTAGAAGCTGTAGCTGTAGTAGCAGTAGACGTATCTGTAGTATCAGGTGTAGCTGTAGCAACAGTAACAGTTCACGCACTGACTTATGTAAAGGCTTTTTACATACAGTACAAGACGGAAGAGAGGGATCTGTTGTGGAGATGTTTTCTTTTCGATATTCTTTATTTAAACATAACTTACAGTATGTAGAGTTATTGTACAGTGTATTTTGAGCTTACATTTTAATTAAAACCGGTTCAAGAAGTGCAGATAATTCTCAAGAGTGGGAGATTTCTAAACGATGAGACCCAAGGGTTCAATCTCTCCCCTCCTCCGCTTCACCCCCAGCTCCAGAGGTGGTGGCCCGACATCGGTACGGCCGGCCAGTGGACTGCTGGGCAGTCGGAGTCATCATGTACATCCTGTGAGTGCCAGCAGGGGGCGCTGTGAACTGTGTTTCACTCCCACCGCGTTCTGAATATGGGCTTCCTCGCTGTCAAGAGAACAACCGACACCGGAGCATCCTCCTGTCTCCTGTTTAACACAGTTCTGTTTTTTATTTTACTCACAAGAGCTTTATGTGAGGAGACATGAAGACACGCAGAGGGTCAAATTGAGTAATAAGTTCACACCGTCAGTCTCAGATGAGATTCCCTTAGCTGGGGTGTCCAGGTCAGTGCTGTGCAGCTCTGCTGCACCAATAGATGACTGAAATGAGGATTGTTTTTTTTATTTAGAATCAGCAATTGTTTTTACTGAACCAGTTTTCGGGGGTAATTCTTGGCTGTTTTTCTTGGATGGATAAGGCAGGATCATGTATTCTCAGTAAAAAGTGATGATTTGCAGGAGAGTCTCCAGCTGGGGCTTTGGAATGTGATGTTTAAGAGCTGATGTCGAACCCTGGGTCTTGTTTATCCCGGGTTCATGTCATCTCAGCTCACTGTTCCGCTGAGGAAGACTCTGGTCTGGTCTGCCTGTTGCAGGAACAGCGCAGGGAGCAGGGCAGAGGGGGAAGGAAATGCACGTTGCGCTTGTGCACCCTCGATAGGTTTCCCCCACCCTCTCCGCCCTTTCCAGCAATCGTTCCGGGGCCTGAGCTGCTCCCATGAGCTCCGGTCCGGGAGCAGGAGCTGCTGGTGTCAGTGGGGAGGGGTGGACAGGTCCTGAGGGGTGTCTCTCTCGCAGGCTCTCGGGCAACCCCCCCTTCTATGACGAGACAGAGGAGGAGAACACAGACCTGCACAACCGAATCATCTTCTGCCGAATCGTGTCGGGGGAATTCGAGTTCGACTCCCCCTACTGGGACGAGATTTCCCCTGCAGGTACCGTGTCTGGCCACCAGGGGGAAGGGAGAGGGAGGGAGCAGACTTCCTGCTGAGGTGCCCTGAGCACCGTGTTAAACAACCGCAGAGCTCAGATAAACTGTCGATCTGGGTCCTTTGTTTCACACTCTCTTTCCTGTGTGTCAAGACCTCCTTCTGGCCTGGCCAGCTGCTCTACTGATGCAGGTACGGTATTTGGGAGCCCCAGACACTGACACAGCCAGGCCAGCTGGCGTCTCCAGAAGGAACAAGAATGAACAGTGAAACACGGTCAGAGGGGTTGCATTTAAAACAGAGAACAGGAGGCACGTCTTCACTCAAGGGGTGGTGGGAGTGTGAAACAAGCAGCTGGCTATTTTGTTGAAGCTGTGTCCTGGGTTCTTTAAAGCAACAGCTGGTGAGATCTTGGGGTTCATTAGCTATGACATACCCAGCAGGCCAGAACGGGCCGCCGGGCTCTCGGTTGTAACTGCTCTGATGTTTTTGTGCTCATGTGTCTTTAGTCCTTCACTCACCTGTGCCTGCTTCAGTCCTCAGACCCTTGTTTAAAAGCTCATTTTAAAGTGATCCCTTTGGTAAATGTCTGTCAATAACCTTCAGATGTATCTCTCATCTTTTCTGTTCAACACTGAGGAGCTTGAGTTCCTTTGGTCAGTTTCTTTATGTCCAGGAATTATCCTGGACCTCCGTCCAGCCTGGCTTGATGGGACACTGAGGATCTGTGAGGATCGGTACTGTTGTGCTAAAAGGAGGAACTGCAGTGAAATCGCCTGTGGACAGTGTTTCCTCTGTGTCCCAGAGCAAGATTCAGAACAGGATGGCTAGGCTCCCACCTGGGCAGGTGTGTCGTTAACGCCTCTGGTCTCTCTCACAGCTAAGGAGCTGGTCTGCCGTCTGATGGAAGTGGATCCCATGCTGAGAATAACGGCCCAGGACGCCCTCTGGCACGAGTGGTGAGAACCGTCCCGCTCCGAGAGGGAGGGGCGTACTGCGCCAGCCTCACACAGCCCAGTGCGGACCGGAGCGCCCCCAGAGCGAGTCCGGGTTCTGCCACTGTGATCTCCTTCAGCAAGGAGGCTTTGTAGCTGCAGTCTGACCTGCTCGCAAATGACGTCATGCCTGAACATTGATGGAAATTTAGCTCATCACTAAACCATCACATCAGAGAACACCTTAGTCACATGTGCCCAAGCCCAAGGTGTCCTGTGCCAGAGGTCTTGGGCTCTGTCAAAGGACACCCCTAACCACTCGCAAGCAGGAAGCAGGTGCAGCAGGGTGAGGGTTGGAGTGCAGTCTTCACCTGGAGCCACCTGTGTGCTGCTGTTCAGGATGTGTGCACATTTGAAGTGAATTAGCCAGGGTGCTGTGTTTTCATAGAGAAAAACAGTGTTGTACCAGACTCATTTCCAGTCAGTAACATCAACAGATTATTTCATAGTCCCCTAATAAAGTCACTGGCAGGGGACAAGTTTTAGGCAAGAGAAGTGACCTGACCCCTCACAGGAGCTGAGGAGGGCAGGCCCAGAGGGCAGCAGACAGGCCCAGAGGGCAGCAGACAGGCACAGATAGCAGCAGACAGGCCCAGAGGGCAGCAGACAGGCCCAGAGGGCAGCAGACAGGCACAGAGGTCAGAAGACAGGCTCCGAGGGCAGCAGTGCCGACTCACACACAGACACGCCCTCTCCCGTTTTCACACTGTCTTTCCCCTTGGCAGGATCGCTGGCAACGGGGCGTCGGAGAAGAACCTGAAGGATGGCGTCTGTGCCCAGTTCGAGAAGAACTTCGCCAAGGCGAAGTGGAGGGTAAGAGACGGGCGGGGCTCTGCGCTCGGCACACGGCACTGCCCAGGCCCTGCGGCTGGAGGGAGCAGAGCTGAGCCCGGCTGTGCTGTCTCCAGCAGCTGCACCACAGAGAGTCCTCTGGGGCAGGGGCAGCAGTAGCACACTGGCATTTCCATACTTTTTTCAAAGCCATTACAGTTCTCAAGTCAATCCTCACAGCAGTACAGGACAGAAACCTGTATTTAACACCACAGTGCATCTGTGACATCAGGTCCACAGCTGAGCCTATTCATATTCCAGCTGCGTTCGGAATCGCAGGCGGGGTGTGCGGCTCGGCTCCCTGACCATCTTTTGCCCGCTGAGCTGTTCTGCAGCACCGCACAGCACCTCTGGCCCGGTCCGGTCCGGTCCAGGCCCTTGGTGATGTCACCCTCCCCTGGTTCTGCACCAGCGTTGGGGGGTCCGGACAAACTGACAAAGATGGTTTTAGTCTCTTCAGTACTAAAACAACTCAAGTAAAAGTAATAAACGCTTATTTTCCCCTTTAGTTTTTTTTCACCTTAAGTCCAAACAATTACCATCTGTATTCAGAAATAAGTCACTGGGGCGCTCATCAGCACTGGTGTGAACCCGATTCTTCTTCCAGTGCTAAAAGTGTAGTTTCCGTGGCGAGCGGCAGGCAAACTGAAACACGTACGCACCGGTGCCTCACAGTCCCTGGGTCCTGGACAGTTTCCCAGCCCAGGGCCCCCTGTGTCCATGCTGGTGCAGCACAGTAAACACAGCCTGGCCTGCGGAGAGGCAGCCTGCCGGTCAGGACAAGACAGACAGCCTTGACACAGAGAGGACACACATGCAGCACAGGACCAGGCACAGCACGGAGCAGGCACAAACAAGCAGCCTGCGGTACGCAGCGCCCGACACACGGATGAACGGAGCAGAAGCTGAATTGTCCGGCGGAGTGCTGGGAGGGTGGCTCTGCTAGATAGATCGGGAAAGTGTTGGGAGCACACGACCCCCTGCTCCCGAGACGGCCGGCCTGCCCAGGGCCTGGCCCAGCACCTCTCTGCTACACAATACCCGTCCTGTCCGCGGCCTCCTCGTCTTGCCCTCCAACAGGGTTACGCTCAGACAAGCCCAGCAGAGAGCCGGCATTAATATGTTCAAGTCCTCCCTTTCCCTGCCAATAGGAAATACAATTTTTAGAATTATTGGTCACCCACATTCTTACATGACTGACTGGGTCGCATCCAAACAGCAAACGTTCAGCCTCAGACAGCATGGCGAGGAAAAGAAGCTTCGG